TTGGTGAATGAAACATTGTAAGAAAAAAATGACAAAATACAGCACTTTTGTGCCCCTCAGTGCCCGTTCCGTACATACAAAACAGTGTTTTGTCAATATTTTGATAAACCCGAGACACGCACTCACCTTATATGGGTGATCTGAAATCTCATCCGACAATTTTTTCGACAGTTTGGCACGGCCTCAAATTAAGCGTACATTTGTAGTCGGTCCTCGAGGGTATTTTGAAACCTCTTTCCGATTTGTGATCCGCACAAGGGTCAGAATCTACACACAGTAAAAACCAGCCTTGTTACAGGATAGGCCAATCTAATTGAAGATGTTCTAGAACAAGGAGTGAGACAAGTTACTGAGATTATCTAACCGAGAAAATTTGGTCCAACCTTTAGAACCAGACAGAAGCCATCGCCTGCTGAATAGTTTTAAATGTAAAAAAAAGGTGTCTGCAAAGAAATAAAAATCGAAGTGAAGTAGTTCTCATAGTGCGTTTGCATAAAGTTCTTTGTGGACTACTATCATCTGAGACCGAAGGGAAGACACAGGCAAAAAATGCGTTAAATAGCAAGAAAAATAAAGTAAAACAGGTGAATATGCTTGGTATAAAGGAACTGCTTTAACTCGTGACACGAACGCCGAAACAACATGCACCTATTTCACACGACTCCGAACGTCGTGGATTGCTCTATTGGCATGTGTTTTTGTCAAACGGTCGTGTCTAGTTCGTTTGTGTATGTTTCATAACAGTCAAATTATTGAATAAATACACTAATGATACTTCAAAACACTAAGAAAAATTGTCCAATAAATTTTAATTATTATGGAAGAGGTTATTCATGGTTTCTGCAGTAGGTAGGATGATAAAATAGAATTATTTTTTACTTAGATTCTAAATAAGGTAGTGTTTTAAATGCTATTTAGTCTCTAAGCAAAGAACTACTCTATTTTAACAAATTTAAACTAGTCACAAAATCTTAAAATGGCAAGCCATGTTATTGATAGTATAGTCTGAATAGGGGGAATGAAAAAGCACTTAAGCACAATTTGCACATGATATGAAAACGTATGTCGTTCATATGCAGGATCAATAAATTAGGTCAAAACAGCTGAATAAAATTAAATAGAGTTAGATATATCCATTCAATCAAATTAAGATTTCAGAAAAGAGAAATAATTTTTTCGATAACACATTCATGGATACATAGCGGGTATAGCATTATGCCCACACTCTATGGCGTCATTGAAAAGCGCACTTGCATGAATAGCAATTACTGAAGTAATCACACTATTGGCACCAGGAAAACATTAGCTTAACAAGATTACCTACAGCCAGAGAGGCCAAGGGCCAATCTTTTTGACTAGATAAAGGATTGGCGCCCTGAAATAGATACGCAGAAGGCTCGGCTAGATTTAATTCAACAGGCTCCGGGTAAAGAAGTATGGACACCTAGATAATAATGTTAGGTACAATCACACTTCAACGCGGAAATCAACACTGGAAATCTCAACAGGTTGCGTGCAAGGGGCAGTTGTTAATTACCCCCAGTGATACGTAGACTGGTGGAACTCTTCCGCCTGCGCTGCTTACTTGTGATCAACGCAGAAGTTTGATGTTCGTCTCGGGAGGCGATGAGAGACAGAGAGATAACTTCATTACTTCCATGCTCCAGGAAAGAAACAGAGCCGGTGTATTGACTTACAACATGAGGTCAACCGCGCAGCTCCGGGATAATACTCCAGGAAACGACAGCCACAGGTGTATCCAGACCGTTGACGGGTCAGGTGCTTTGCACTGGAGAAAAACATCGAAATTTCTGAGAAGATATAGGGAATGACAGTTCCTCTGACAGCAGCAATATTGAGCCATTTCAGGCATTTGGTGCAGTAATAGACCAGTACTTAGAAAAAACTTGTTTTCAATTTGTTTAACAGGGGTGCAGGTCAATTTTTTCCTCGGTGGTAATCGGTGAGGTCAACCACAAATTGCTGAGTTTACATGAGAGCCTTGCAGTTGATTAAAGCTGTAAACATGAAGACATTTGTTATAGTTATTAACTTATGTTTTAACATACAACCTACTTAGGAATTTATTACAAATTTATTACGGGTTTAGCTTATAGTAAAATATAAGAATATTAAGGATAAAAACATAAATATGTAAGCCCAATAATATACATGTGGTCTTCCGAGGAAAAGGACAAAGACGGTTAAACGAAACTGAGGGCCCGTGTAATAGAAAGTTATTGCACCCTCCATTTTTAGAATTTAAAAAATTTTTAAAATTAAAATTACACAAGTTAGGGTGAGCTCGACGTAAGTGGGTCAAAACCTTACCTGTGCAAATTGACGGGAACCGGACTTTCTATCATGGGGGGCTTTCTGTCACGTCACACCTGTCCTCAACGTTTAATTGTAATAACAGTAGAAATGCAGAAAAAACTAGAGTTGTTTATCACAATAGTCAAGAGTGCTTCATTTTCGTTTCTTACAATCGCTACTCTTGCATAATCATTCCACTTCACAGACGGTTTGGTTTTGTCTACGCCCATAAAAGCAACCAAATCTTGTGGACATTATATAACAAGATGCCCTGCTTTGTATTCTGTGGACTAGGGTAATTTTGTTCGAGACTATCTTTGTTCAAATGTTGGTGAATCTGCATCCCTTAGCGTGAAACTGATGAAAACGTTATGCGTACCATGATGATTTAATGTACAGGTTTACGTTTACCAGGGCCCGGCTGTACCCCCAAGGAATCTGTCTTGGTTCCCAAATTATGTGATAAACGCTTTCTAGGCTTTAATTGGAGAATGACACGCATAAGGTGGCTCAGATTTATTAAGAAAATTATATGAGAGATCTGAGGTTCAAAAATCATTGTACATTCCCAAAAGAGACGAAAACCATGAAAAAAGCCTGTAGTTTTTTTTTACTGTATTTAAAATCGCGGAAACAGGGTTGATTAGTTTTGAATTAAAACGCTAACACACTGTGCCTGCGGCTCGGTTACACTGGTGGCTGCATGCCCGTATGCTCTAAATTTATCAAATATTTCACATTTTTCTAAATTAAAAAAGAAAGTAAAAGCAACGTATTATTAAAAATAATTCAGGAATAAAGAGCAAATAGAGGGGGGGGGGCTTAAATTTCGAAATTACGATCTGTTAAGGATAGACTCGGAATTTAAAATACACGTCGTTTTACTGAATACTTGATAAAAAAAATCCGGAATAAAGCACTGGGGATTGACAAGATGGCCCCATACTATCCGATGATTTCGTGATCATTCTTTCTGTTGACTTTTAACCCTAAGTACATAGTTTTGGTAATCGTTTTACTATACAGATACGATTAATGAATGATAGCCTAATAGCATGTTTGAGAGCAATTCACGCCGCTCCTCAAGACCAAATACGGTGATCTTTATGCAGCTTAACATTACGTAATTGTCATAAAAAAACGTATTCCCTTACATTTGAACCATGCAAGCAATGTTTACCGACCATATGTGATTTAATTTGGCTGATAACGTCTCCGTGGCTTTCACATCTGTTTCTATCTTGTTAACGTATGTTTGATTTAATAGCACAATGTGAAATACATGATGTGGCAGAATTGCGAGTCATCTTCTCTGACGCAATGCGAAATAACCTGTACTTCTGTTTCTTTGTTCCCCTTGCAAAATACATATAAAAATATGACACAAAATCAAATCTGGGGGTAATATGATATTTGATCGGTTTATATTTCTGAAAGCCACTAATGCGTATAAAATTACACTTCTCTAAGATGAACGTCGGTCAGTACCACTTGCCATTATATAAGCACAGTCAACTATTATTGTCCGTTTTTCTTCGAAGTCAAAGTACCCCTTTCCTTGTAAGGGCGGTGATATAATTGCCTGCAATTAATCAACTACCAACCAATGACTGATCCTCTTGTAATTGGACTTAGATGATGCATAGACTGGCTGTTGTAACAGTATTTCCATAACACATGCAGGTGAATAGAAGGGCTTAATAACTTGTTCCTGGTTGGGCAACGAGCCTGTTGGCTAACAAGAAAAGCAACGACAAGATTTTTACATGGTAGCAGTTACGCGAACACTGAGGCAAAGGCTCGTCTGCCTAGACCTAGCTTTGACCACATTTGCACAAAAATCTTCTTATTAAATTTTCTGTGATTTTTTGCTGAAAGGCCGATCGTTTCATCAACCTGATGCACAATTTCCACTTTACCGCTTGCATAGGCTGTACCTACCTGTTTCGCAAAGGAAACTCTGCTATTGAACCTGAATGCTTTCTCAAGAGCCTTCCTGTGCTGGCAATTTTTCTACCCATCAATACCAATTGATTTCACATATAGCAAATACATTCCATTACAGATGCCATTTAAAGGTCGACTTACTTTTAAATTATACCCCCTCATAAGGTCAGTGGGGCATTGATAATCAGGCATGGGTTAACCTTTCCGGAGCACCTGTCCTCATCGGGTCAGGCCGGCAATTACTATGAATACTTCCAATGGCATCGTTGTATGCGCTTTTGAGATATCAAAAAGGGCTTTTTGCGATGAATCTACATGTATAATTTAGTGTTTTTTTAAGTATACGGATATTTGACGCCAAATGAAATACAGTTGGCGAATTTACCCCCATCCCCAAAGGTGGAAATAGTATTGAGTACTTAAATATTATAGAAGCCCAAACTAAAATAACTTAAGATATGCGATCTAGGTATCATTTTTGCTTTGTACGGCTTAAGCCGAATAAGATTACTGCATTGTTAATTGCGTTAAATGCAAGCTTTGCACAAGGGTATCGATCTCATTGTTGTTTCTAAAACATACAATGCGTCTTTGGGGGAATGTCACTCCTTATCTATAAAGATAAAAGAAATAACCCACGTGCCGTCCTCTTGAAAAGGACGAAAATAATTTAAACAAGACAAAAGCGAATGTCCCATTTATAATTGAATAGAATCATTTGAAGGCATTTTTGGCAACTGACAATTCGACAAATGCTCGGAGAATTACATGTAGTTGCTAACTGCACTGTCCAGTGTTACATTTCAGAAATTTTGTGTTTAGTATATCACTTTAAAAACAGGACAGTTAATTTTTTTAGTTCTGTTTCCAAAAAGTACACTTTACTTTTTTCATTAATCAATTGCCAGCATTAATCGTAACATGCATGAACCAAATAATAGTTTTAATTAAAAATTCTAGCTTAATGAACTACCAAATATTTACAGTCACCACAATTGTATGCTTAATAAATAATGTTAATAAAGTAAGTATGTAGATATTGTTAAATTTATAGACATGTCAAATTTAAATATCATTTATTTATAGTAATCCCTAACTTTTAATCAAGAATATTATACATTCTAATGAATATAAATAATGTTTAAGTAAAGTTCACAAAAATGTCGCGTTTTTCGCTGGATACATTTTTCAGATCCAGTGGTTGAGAAAGTGTCGCTGCATTATCATACAAAGTTTTAATGTAAAGTCAATAACACAATTTTCCGCAGCTCATTCGCCCAGGTTTCTGCGGCGTGATAGTCCTTGGCTCGGAACACGTACTCGCGATCCTTCCCTTCGATATGTAGACTGGACCAGCCTGGAATGGAAATAAGATATAATTCCCACTTTTTTATTTGGTTGTTTTATTAAGCTGATAAAGTTGTAAGATGGCATAGCATGTAGCCCGCTGTATGTTTTCAATCACTTTTGAAATCATGTGCTTCGTGTCGAACGTAGCTTTTGCATCGACCTGTGCTTCCCTCTGTTAGAGAAAACACGTACTAAATATGGTCGAAAACATATGGAATGAAGATGTAAAACTCGATTATTATATGAAAATGATTAGGAAACACTGTTTATAATCTTGCAAGTTGGTGTCATACATACTTACCTTTTGACTGAGAAAATCCGACTTTTTCAATGAGATTTATTGCAATTGATTTGGATTCTTTAGAAATGCCGGTGTCGTCTGCCTTTTCTGACCACACCAGTTGTGGCCAGCCGCCATTTTGTGAAGAGATCACTCGGACGAAGCGTTTGTGTCGTATACCTTTAGGATTCACCTTAGTGAAAAACATCCCTGGTGAATAACAAAAGATGAAAATGCATAAATTATAAAATTGTAAAAGGACTTGAGTAAAATTTTTTTCTACTACGTTCAACGATTTAGTCAGATAATTAAGCTTATCATTCACCAAAAATGTTTTTTATTACTCTTACTGAGTAAGAAGTCCCTGTTAATGTAAATTATAGGTCATGTTTAAAAAAGACTACTATTTCTTTCAATTATGTCCAATGAAATTTAATATAACAATTGCCTCGGCAGGGGCATACTTAAATAAGGAGGCATTGACCGTGACACCTACCTGTACGTAATATTTCTGATATGTCAGGCGGAGCATGTGTCGCGTTACTATACTGGTGGATACCATTGCCGTTGGATGCGTTAGCTGTAGCCGAACTCTGGGACAGAATCTCCACATTACATAAGGCAATAGTTCTTTGTGGGTCACTTGTGACCAAAGACAGCAAATATTCAAAGTTCGAAACAATTACTCTGGCTTCTTTTTCACTAAGGAGGTCGCTAGAGTAGTCCAGAGCTAGGTCTATCTTTTCCCTTTTCTTATCATAAAGAATCCGAAGCCTCGTCTCGTGCGTAAGAATAAGTGTGCGCGCATCTTTCATATAAGCTTGCTTTTCCCGGCTCTCACTCTTGTCAGAGTACTTCTCAAACAAATCCTCCTTGAAGGACGACGCTTCGAGGATGATTTCATGGCGAGTCAAGTAAGGGCGGTCTTCTGGCGCAACCAAATTTCTGATATTTTCAAATGGGTACAGGCTGTTCTGGATGCACTGTAGGATGCTTTTGGCATTTCTACTTATGTAGCTGGTGATGGTTTCATGCGCATCATCGGGGAAGGAAGCGGGCAATGGAATGAAATTGACGCAGTCGGTGACAGTGCGCAAGAGGCCGGGGACGTGCATGCGCAGATCAACTGGGTTTGAGACAACGACGGTATCTGCACTGCATAACTTGTGAAGAACCAATTGATGCACACTAGCTAAAACCTGAAAAACGGTGACTTTCTCTCTTTTGCAAAATTCGCTGAGTTTTTTCACAATTTCTACTGACAAAGGCCGTTCAAGCGTAGAATACTCGCCTGAGATCTTTTCGAGCGGAGTTGATTCCTTTGATAACCGTACGTCTGACATTTTATCTGGAAGAATGCCGGACCAGAATTCCTGGAGCTCCTTCATTTTGGTCGTTGTCAATACCTTCCCTATTTCCTCTGCAATATTCGGAACATCTGCATTCTTGTAAGCTTTCATGGATATACCGCTAGTTTTGGCTGCTACAACAGACATAAGATCCTGAAATATGAGGGGCACTGAAGTCATATCGAGGGCGCTGTGGTGAAAAACAAACCTCAAATAGCTTCTCGGTTCGGTAAGAACGAAGGCGACTCGCCATGGAGCCTCTCTGATGAGATCGAATGGCGAGCGAGTGAATGAATTCAGCGAGGGTGTCACTTTAGTTTCAGACCCCTCTAGTGTGAGGAAATCCACAGGAGCATCCTCAGGCAGGAAAGATATTTTTACCTCGTCTATTCCATCGCCCGTACCAGGAGTCCTGGGAACAAAGACTGCTCTTAGCATTGGGTTGCGGCGTGCAACTTCATTCAAAACTTCTTGCCAGAACCCGGATGTTCCAGGGTTTTCTGGGAGTACCAGTGTCATGACCACGTGGGCGCTGAGATCGGATGGATTTGCCCGGTTTCTTTTGTACGAGGAGTACTGCATGAATGATGGTGTCAGCAGAGGCCCTGTGGGTGAGGAATTGGCAGACACGGAAATTGGTAAATGAGCAGGTGCTTCTTTCGTTCCCTGTGGCTTGGGCTTGGTTTCCTGTTTAGCAAAATCGCCAGGAAGTCTCTCGTCTATGAAACTAGCAAGTGCGGCCGCGGTGACATCCTCACTTAGTAACACCACAACTGGTATTGTGACCTTCAGCTCCTGGTTCACCCTGTTGATCAGAGACATGGCAATCATGGAATCAATCCCCATGTCTGAGATCGAGGCATCGGCGTGGACGGCTAAAACGTCCATGCCAAACAGAGAGGCAACAACACTGCAGGAGTATTCGACCAGTTTTAGGTAGCGCTGCTCCGCACTCAGCGACTTCAGTTCTCCTAACGTCACGGTGCACTGACCCTGGTCTGATTGTACCTTGTTTTCAGTGGAAGCCGCGCCGCTGTGCAGCTGCATTATGGTGGTGTACCGAGCTCGAATTGGGGAGTTTTCTGCTCTCTGTAACTCCTGCACCATCTTATTCCAGTCGAAATTGCCATAGAGAACTTGAGTCTCGTTCTTCAATAGCGCGTGGTGGAGACACTTCACAATCTCAGGTACCGTAAGAGAAGCGTGTCCCATTACCTTAAGAATTCTCTCTGCAGCCTCGTCGCCTTTCAGAAGACCAATCTCTAGAGCGCCCCAGTTTATAACTTGCGCTACCATATTCTGCTGTCGTCTGTAGAAAGCAAGGGCGTCCATAAACGAGTTGCCGGCTCCGTAATTTGTTTGACCTCCATTTCCCATCAGTGACGTCACGGAAGAATGCATGACAAAATAGTCGAGACTGTACTCTCTCGAAATAAGGTGAAGATTCCATGTGCCAATGATCTTGGGGTTAGTTGCTTTCTCAAACTTTTCTTGATCAAGATTCAACAAGATGCCATTTTCTAGAACAGCCGCCCCGTGGAATATACCTTTAAGGGGAACGCCGGGCAACGTCTGATCCAATGATCCGAAAGCTTTCTTCAAAGAGGAGAAATCCATGACGTCAGCCTGAACGCAAATGAACCGCACGCGGTGCTCGTTTTCCAGACGCTTTATGCTGGCAATTTGTTCACTGTTCGGGGCCCGACGTGACATAGACACGATATAACCTGCTCCGTTCGCTGCCACATATTTGCTGATTTCCCACCCAAGGCCAGTTAGACCACCGATAATGAGGTAGCTTGCGTCCCGTCTGAATAAATCATTAGGGCCGGCATACACAACTCTGGACATTGCTTTCTTGTGGAAACGCACAATATCCACAACGTCATCAGGGCTGTGGTCGTGTTGGTTTTCAATTCTTGCCAGCATGGTGCTGCCGAAATCTATGCGCTTGTGTAGATCTACAGCTTCAAGCTTCATTTCATTCACCGTGATATTTAGGTTAAGCTGGGGCTTTGATTTTAGTTTCTTGAACCAGCGTCGGAGTGGCGGGATGGTAGCCCGAAGGCTCGGTGGGTTGAACGTGTCACGGAGGAGACAGGTGTGTATCTGGGTATTCGGTAGGTGACCTGCAAGTGCATTAATGATAGGACCAGAGACCCATTCCTCCACCACAATCAGGGACTGGGGATTCTGCCAGGAACCAGCCAGACATTTCACATCCAGTAATCTCAGCTCTTCCAGAAGGACAAGGGTTCTATGTTCCAGTTTCTCGCGGTTTTGAAGATCCTTTCTGGGGATGATCTCAGCCGCCAGGTTCTTGTAGCCTGCGAATGTTTTAAACAGCTTGCTCAAAGCAGAAGTTTCATGTGTGTGGACAATACCAATCGTCCCAAGTTTTGCAGAAACCAAATCGAGAACTTTCCTGACTAAGATAAGCTGAGCAAGCGATGTCTTGGCAAATTGCGGAAGATCTTTAGTGCGGAACACGCAGTCCTCTGGAACCTTAAGTATGGACGCTGCTTTTGTGGGATAACATGTCAGCACCGTCTCTCCTACTCGGAAACTGGATTTGGGGCCAGTTTTTAAAACCTGTCCCTCCACGCTTAAAGTGAGGACATCATGCCCCGGTGCCTCAGCAGTTGGCCAGTAGGAGTAACTTGACTTTAAGTCGGAAACGGTTACTGGGAACAGCAACGGCTGATGGAGATATACAAGATTGGTCGATACCAACAGGTGCCCTTTCCCTGCGTTGAGATCACTGGAGTCACTTTGATATTGCAGGTGGACATCTTTTAGTTTCCTACTGTGGCAAGACACGAGCTTCACTTTACTATCTTCCTCGGATATATTTTCCCTGTATTGAATGTAATTGAGGTTTTCAGTCACTGGCATGATTTCATTGAGGTAGAAAGATCCTGCTGCGACCACAGTTTCGGGAAACTGCTTGACAAATGCTTCTATGTTCTTCAAGGCATTGGATACCGCTACCAGACTCTCTCTGCCTTCTTGCACGTCGACAAGACTGACTGCGTCATACGTATACTCTCTGAGGAGACTCCGCACCATCCCCCACATCTGAGATCCGACTGGACTCAACGTGGCATTGGATGATTGGCTTACACACTGGCAATTTCTGGTTAGAACCACAATGGGCACTTTGCAACCGGCTCCGTGAAGCAATTTGATGAGCTGCCTAAATCCAGAACATGCTTTTTGACAAGCGTCGTTGACTTCTTCAGCTGTTGGGAAGATTCCTACGTCCGCTATTCCCCAGGCAAAGACCACTCCACGTAATCGTGCTAACTCACTGAATGTATTACTTAGGAGATCTTGCAGTCCGTTTTCATCGCGCACCTTGCCTTTGAAGGCACTACGAGGAATGCGACATATTGGACCTTCTAGTCTCTCTGCAATATGTTCTGCGACTTTGCAGGGATCGGTAAGTACTAACCAAGAGTCACCCCGTAGTCCCAGATCCGCGTCACCAGATGGCGCTACTGCAGAAGCCGCAGGCATCTTATTCCACTGAAGCTGATAAACAAAAGCTTCCTCAACCCGCTTGCTCTCTGAAATGAACTTTGTGACGTAGTTATGGGTCTCCACTACCACCTCTCCATCTTGCGTCAACAACATGGCGTTGAAGTGAGCTATCTCGTGTGGTTTATCATGCATCAGTCTGCAATAAGCGTACAGCTTCCTCTGAGGCGGGCGCCTGACGGTCAAACTACCAATACCCACGGGAATAGACGGGTCCGTCGCCTCGTTACCTACGTAAAATATTCCTGGGTTCTGAAAAAGACCATCGAGAATGGCGGGATGGATGGTGGTACTGTACATCTGTTGGCACACAACGTCTGGGAGCTCAATCGAGGAGAGACACTCGACCTTGTTTCTAGATGCTCCAGTGATGACTTTCATACTTGGCCCGTACATGAAGCCTAGCTTTTCCAGTGCCCCGTATATGACCTCTTCTGTAAGGTGCTCCGTACATCTGCTCTTTATTTCTTCTATATCCACTGCCTTGACGCTGTGGATGTCCTCCGTGTAAATGACGCTACCTCGGGCGTGAACTCTTTTGTCTGATTTGATGGTGAAATCATTTGAGCAGTGCTCCTGACCTAGGTCGTCTGCAGAGCCGAAATCAACTTCCAGTTTAGCACCCTTCCCGGGAGACAAGATCACAGGACGAACAAAGTCAACGTGAACCAAGAAGTTTTGCACGGGTTTTTTGGTCGAGGCAACTGCAGCCGTCAACGCAATTTCTGCATAGAAGGCGCCCGGTGCGACCACCTTTCCTCCCATATAATGGTCATATATGAACGGTGTCAAATTATTGTCAATGACTGCGGCATATTTAATGCCGGCACTTGGCAACCTCTTTACAAAGGGATGGGCAGAATGGGAATCACTGTCAATTCCAGCGCGTTTGAGTTTAGAGGACTCTGGTTCAAAATAGTTCCAAATCCTTTTGAATTGATACTTTGGAGCATCAACTATAACAACGTTTTTCATGGAAACGACGTTTTTCCAAAGTGGATTGAGTCCCAATGTGTAGATTTTTGCCACTGCTTCACTTAGGCAGCTCAGCTCGCTACCTTTTTTCATAGACGGTATCACGGGTACGTCGCTTCTGTCTCGCATGTGAGCGCGCAGCACTGGGTGTGGTCCTATTTCAATAACGATGTTGTCATGATCGTCCGTAATAGCAGCGTCTACAGCTTTTTTGAACTGCACTGGCTGACGCACGTTTCTTCCCCAGTACTCGGCTGTGACAAAATCTTGGTCTGACGCCAACTCTCCGGTCACTGTGGAGAATATAGGCACGTCTGGCGTTTTGCCTTTTAATTCCGATAAAGCAGCTTCTACTTTAGACTTGATATCTTGCATATGGTGACTGTGGTAGGCGCACTCAGTTGGCAGGTCTTGGACATACACAGCATTAAAACGGATCGTGTCCCGAAGGGTCACTTTCAGATCTTCTATGGCGTCTGCGTCCCCTGAGACAACGCACGATGTCGGGCTGTTAAATACTGCGATGTTGAGTCTACCCGAGTATTTTTCTGTAAGGACTTTCTCCAACCAGGCCGTTTTGTAATTCATCACAATACACATCCTTCCCCCTTTGACTTCTGACAGAAACTTGGTGCGAAAATAGATGGTTGTAACAGCATCTGGGAGGGAGAGAGCACCGGCCACGTGGGCGGCTGCCACCTCTCCCACAGACTGCCCAAGAACTGAAGACGGCGTTATACCCCAATGACGCCACAGCGCTGCCAGGGCCACCTGGCAAGTGAAAATGGCAAGCGGGGCCACGTCAGCAGACGACAAGTCTTGAATCTCTTTAAATTTCTCTAGTATTGACCAGTCGGTCAGGGGCTGCAGTAGATTGTCAATTTCCTGGACTTTATCTCTGAAGACGCCTTCTTCCCTTATCAAACCCCTACACATGCCTTGCCACTCCATTCCCATGCCACAGAAGACAAAAATGACGTTTTTGGGCGCCAGACCCACTACTGGCTGTTCTGGCAAATTGGATGCATCCGATTCCAGTTTGCGAACGCATTCCTCGATAGATGTCGCTGTGGTTGCAAGTCGGTAATTGTAATGAGTTCTCCTACAAGTTGATGTGCGCGCAATATCTCTCAAACTGTATTCCTTATTTGAAACCTTTTCCATGAGGTTTTTAGTAATCTGTTCAAGGGACCACTGATTTTGAGCTGAAATTGCGATGATTTCTGGGGATTTTTCAAATGCCTCTGTGGCCTCTACTGTCATATCAATGGACACATTCTCACTGCCCAAATCCTGACACATCTCATGACAATTTCTCACTTGTGTGGCGTTTTCGGTCATCTCACTGTCAGTTTCTTCTTGTTCAATACTCATAACTGGTTTTTGGATGGCTTCTCTATCAAACTGCATGACCACGGCGTGTGCATTGGTTCCTCCAAAACTAAATGAGTTGACACAGGCAAGACGGGGCTTACCCTCGGGCGGTGTCCAGTTCATAACCTCTGTAGGCACTCGCAGTCTGAGCTCGTGAAAATTAATCTTCGGGTTGGCCGGCCGGCCCTTGAAGTGCAAGGAAGGGACGATCTTCTCGTGTTTCATCATGAGGAGCACTTTAATGAGACCCGCTACACCTGCCGCCGATTCAAGATGGCCGATGTTGGTTTTCACTGAGCCAATGTAACACTCGGGTGCTACCCTCGCCTTTCTGTCCAGAAAGCTGCCAATGGCGTTGCACTCCACGGGGTCGCCAGCTTGGGTCCCTGTCCCTATTTACGGGACAAGAAATAGCACTGATGATGTTATATGCAAATCACGTGTATAAAACGTGTATAAAAATCAGTTAACATTAATCATGTTCATAAAACATTAAAACACAAAACCAGTAATTATAATTGTGCTCATATTGCAGTAATACTTTGTACATCATTTCTTCTATTTATTATTACATACATATTCTATTAAGGCTAGTTAATTTATGAAATTCGTGTAAAATATATGTGAAAATTGCATATACAGACAAGTATATATTTACCATGAGCCTCCACATACTGGATATCATCTGAGTTGACGTGGTACCTTAAAAACACTTCCTTGAGCAGTGCAGCTTGTTGAGAGCCTGACGGAGCCGTGATAGGATGAGCCGTGCGGCCATCTTGGTTGACGCCTGTACCAATGATGGCCCATATTCTGTCTCCATCTTTTAACGCCTGACGAATCCGATATGAAACATTATCAGATTAAATCAACAACATGAAAAGGGGAATTCGGGCAATAGTTTTTCCTCCGTGTGAGGGTTCCTTGGATGTTTAAAGTAAATAAACCCTATGCAAAACAAAAACTCTGTTTGCATTTCTCCAAAAGATGACTTATGATCATCAGTTTGTTTTACGTATATAAATGTGCCAGAACATTTCGTATTTTATTAGCTTTCAATTAGACACATCCTACATGTAAATGTACACAAATGTACACAGTGTAGCATTTTACCGATATGAAAATTTTGTTAGACAGATGAATACCACTTTTACCTCCAATATTAGCGCAAAACAAATCATTCAGATAAAAGCTGCTATGTTACTACATATATGTGTCTCTGTTTGACTATACATAAATCATGTGATGCAGTAGTCACTCACGTCTTTAAGCCTTTTCAGCACCACAATTCCACACCCCTCACCACGTGCGTATCCATCCGCCGCGGAGGAGAATGCTTGGGACTGTCCTGTTGGCGACACCATCCGGGCTTTACTGAGAGGCACGTGCATCGTGGGCATCATGATAGCGTTCACACCGCCACAGAGCGCCATGTTGCACTCACCTGGGAGATTTGGCAATAACAAATTGTTGAAATATGTCGTTTAAGACAATAGATCGCAAATATGGATATTTCGTTTGCATATCCGTTACATATTGTACACACATTAGTCTCCTCTAGACAAAAACATACGAGATGATTCAAAGATGTTCTTTAAATATGATCAACACCTAAAAAAAATAATCGTATTGGCAGTTGACGGACGTGTGGGTTTCATTGATTATCCAGAAAAAAAATTAATTTGAAATTACCAAAAATATGTTGAAACTGTCTACCATTCATTTTGTCAACTTTGTCTGTTTGTTACACAATACAATTACAATAAAAATTTCATTTTTATTTCAAAGCCAAAGGAACGAGGACCTCAATATTTAACTTATGTTAACTAACCAATTTGAGGGCGGGGGGGGGGGGGGGCGTAGGGGGTCCGGTAAATGATAAAAGCAACAAACCGTTCTTCAGCGCCTGGCAGCCAAGATGCGTGGCCACCATGGCCGACGAGCACGCGGTATCCACGGACATACAGGGACCGAGGAGGTTGAACACGTAGGACACCCTGGCGGCAGTAATGCTGTTTGAAGCTCCGGTTAGGCTGTAGTTGTTCATGGAGGACACGTCCGTCTCAAACATGTCCGCAAAGTCGTTATTCATGACACCTGTAAACGTAGGAATGTTATAATCAGCTGGATCTTTTTTTTTTCTTTTTTTCTTTTTTTTTTTTTTTTTTTTTTTTTTATTTCAATGGAGAGTGTGTTTCANGATTTCCATTAATAGTTACTTTTTCATGTGAAGATAACTTTTAGCTTAAAGTATATATCATTACATATAGGATTTTTTCAAGATAGGTAATAAACAAGCTTAGCGGATTTTTACGCAAATTTTCAGTTTACAGAATGCAAGGAGAGATACAACAAACTAGCTTCCTATAACATTTTTATGACGCCATGTTTTATTTTTTCTTTCACTTCGCACCATTAGTCAGCTCAAGCTCATGCACTTGATAATGATTTATTGCTGGTTCATTCGGCTTTCAAATGCGGTATACCCACGTACAAAGCCGTATCATTCTGATTCGATGTAGAAGTGTATATAAAGCGTGACAACCAGATACAGCGATGATATTAATGTATCTATGAGGGTCATTACAGTAGAACAAATAAATACATGAGACCTCATCAACCGCAACATGATTTAACTGCTGTGCGATAAGATGTGTACGTTATCATATAGTACACTATGAGCGTTGCATAACTATCCATTGTAGATTTCCGAGATACACGTAAAATTATAAGATTATGTACTTATGCCAGTCCCTAACCAGCGAGCGAAATTACACAGGTATACACCCTACTTTAGTATATTTTTTTACAAAATGATCTAGAATAATGAAAAAACAATTGAATCAACTGGAAGTTGTCATCCACTACTTACCAACATACACCCCAGTCCGGCTTCCCTGTATATCCGGGGTCGGTATCCCAGCGTTCTCCAGCGCCATGTAACAACAGTCCAGCACAAATCGCTGCTGGGGGTCCATCCTCGCCGCCTCCAGGTCGTTGACCCCATACAACCGGTTATCCCACTCTATGTGACTCCTGAGGGAATAGTGGATTTTGATGTGAAATTACGCTATAATAGTGTAGATTTCTTAGGTCGATGATACAGCGATAAACGTTATTCTACGTACAAAAAGGCAGGATTCTGTGAACAACACGCTATTACAATTGATTACATTTTAAAATACCATAATACATCATGAAAGGTGAGAAAAAATATTTAATTTGCTACAAACATTAGCTATTTACAAAGTTATTTTTATTATCTTTATTTATTTATTTATTTATTTATTTATTTATTTACGAAAACATTTTATGTGTGATTTCAAAGCACTCTGCAGTAAGGACTTTGCGATATAAAACGGAACTGTGCGCACCACACCAAAAGTGAAAGCTTATGTTTACTAGCTGTAAATTAAATGAAACATGAGTTTTATCAAGTTTTGATGTCTAATCACGTATTCTCTGAATTGTGTGCCAAATGAGCATTTGATCAAATAATTGCCGTTATAGCTTCAATGGCCAAAGTCAAATATGTATTATGACTTTGACAAAAGGAAGAAAGAAATGAAGGAGACAGATTTTGTGGTGCTTTTACAAAACAGCTAAAAACGAGAATAACGATGGGACAGATGTCCAAATTAAATAAATTTTGGACAAGGCCGGGAAATAGAAAGTGAAAGTGGACTTCGAGGTAGGGAGAGGTGGGTGGCGCACACATGCTTCACATATATAACTAGTTTTAAAGTTTAACCTTGAGCAAGTATTCTGTAAGTTAAGTTTGTGCCCTGATAAAACGATATTCTTAAAAACACTCCGCTTTCCTTGAACAAAGAAAATAGTACCCATAGACGTGTTCAATAGTGTATTTCTACGCCTTTTTACTAAAACTGATAACTACGACACTTGCCCATAAATGTATTAGAATATTTAACGAGACTGTGTAGCTGATCTTCCTAAAACTGCTCCTTACATCAAGTGAAAATTGGGAAGGAAATGAAAATTTCACGTACCCTTTAACAAAACCAGCCCGAGTGACGTAAGTTTTGCCAGGGGCATCTGGGTCAGAGGAGAAGAAAGCGTCATTATTCCATCTTTCTTTAGGTATATCAATCACATGGTTCTCTCCATTTTCAAGAACTTTCCAGAATTCATCAATGTCGTCTGCTCCGGGAAAGCGGCAGCCGACGCCGACGATGGCGATAGCGTCATCGCCTAACATCATTAACTACAGGATGATGAAAAATAATAAAGCTAAATAAAACAGAGTCAGAATATCTAAAATATTTAAAAAAGTCAGAGATGCAAAAAATGAAAATGTAAGCGGAACAAACGAAACCATTTAATTATGAGTAGTGGGGAAAAACATCTAATTATATTTAGAAAAATATCTGAGATGTTCAATCAAGTAAACAAGTTTACAAAATATTAAGAATTCTTTTGAGTATTCAATTTGAACCTTACCGGCTGAGAGCTTCGATCGCGACTAACGCTTCTTTGATAAGTGCCTATTTATAACATCGAGGTATCTATCAGCATGACAAGCTAATTGGAATCCCTATCTTTATCATTCTAGCCATGAAATTGATTAATATGATTACATCTCATTGATCATAACAATAATATTCAAAGCATTGTCCTGACTTGCAATTTTATTTGCAGTGTCATGGCTGACTTTCAGCATTACGGCACTCACTCTGCACGACTGAAAGGCATCGGCAAAATCGGACACTGCTAAAATATCATCGTCACCATTATGTAGCCGTTTATTGGCAAATACGCAATCCATCATTGGAAAGTAATTACGACTACCGTGTGCGTTGGGATTACTAGTACGTCAATTGAAATAAATCAAAACGCCATAGACTTCATATCTTTATAGGAATATCGTATACCAATCATGATGACCATGGTTTACGTTTCTCATATTTTGTTCATTGATTTCGATGAACAGTTTGTGTGAGACTTTGATCACGTCTGGCGTACAATAGATTGCTGATGGATTTTTTTTAAAGAGTAAATTGACCACTGGCTTTCTTTGCCCAAAAAAGAAGTAAAGTGCATAAATCATAAAAAGTAAGTACAGAAAAAGCACGGTGCCAGTCGTCATTTATCCGTGACTGGGCACCTGTGGTTGAAAGATGTAAACTTATAGGCCTATATGTATATATATAAGATCCACAATGGTGAGTACAGATTCAGAATTGCGCATGCGCTGAGTTAGGAACGACAAAAAATGTGTTAGAAAAAAGTGTGAACTCCCTTCACTGGGTATCTTTCAATGAAAGAGATTTTAAAAAAATAGCTTTAACAGGAAGACGCCGTTCCCTCTACCACACACACAAACACCAGAGCATCCAACGATATACATAAAAAGATCCCAACAGCAATTCAGTTTTAATTCAAAGGGCAAGAGAGACGTTATTCTTCAAAATTATGGAATTGGTTTTAGTTTTTTATTACGCAAATTATTTATGTCCTAAGCACCATCATTTTAATTTCAAAATATGAATACACACGCTATAATCCAATCGCGAGAAAAATATCAAATTCAAAACCTAGATTCGTGTGTTCTATTAAAGGCACCCAGTTATTAAATCTCAGAGCAATCACACTTTTCAAGAACTTTCTGCTTGCTTCTGACAACGAGTCATCGGACATCAAAGTTCTGTCAATTTTGGCACAAGCCACGTCGATCGTGTCTATGAACTCGTCTTGCTCCAGCTTTCCCCCTACACTGATGAGCATACTGGCAACAGTCTTGATAAGATAGTCCATTGGGTCGTCTAGCAGGCACTCTATGACTTCCATTATACTGTCTGCTAACACCAGTCCCTTCGCGTACATCCGGGCAATAAAGATACCCAAGTGTTTGATTTTCGTCGTTAATGCAGCTATTTGTTCAGCGATCCTTTCCATTGAGGTCTCCAAGCGGATCTGAGACGACCGGGAGTGTGAAGAGTAATCCTTCGTCGACAAACGGGCATACGAATTCAGTTTGCTCTGGTATAAGTCCAATGTAGAGTGAAAGTCCTGTTCGGTTTTGTTTACAATGGCGTGGGTAATTCGCAGCTGAGCCATCTTTCCTCCTGAGATGGGATTTGTGAATACTCGCATCTCAGTCTGGTAAATACTGTCTATAAGTTTTACAACTGGGCCTCCGATTAACACATCTGATTTGACATTTTGTAATATCAAATATCCCAGAACGTCTATTTCTGTACGAGTGCACACTTTCTCGAAAACAACCTTAGTGAATTGCTTTGTGATTTCCTTCATTGCGCTCTTATTTGGCTTGAAAGGGTCTATCTTTTTCGAAACAAGATCTAGAATCTTCTGGATATCCTTTCCAAGGGGCGAATTCTTGGCCATCGCCTCCACAAAGCTGTCTTGGTCAACTCCAAGGCGACTGTCAGACTCTGAGAAATTCATTTTCCGTGTAAAAAAATATTAGACATTTAACCTTATTATGATGAAAGATTATTTAACTTACGACAAAGTCCGTTACACAGCTAGCTACGTCAGTAAACGTCATTGCGACGCGATTCTGACGTCAACGGACACAGTACGTGGCGCCACCTTTTTCACACGTCACTAACCATATCATATTTATGCCATTCCATTCCAACAATTTAATGCAGGGGCGGATTCAGGATTATTTAAAGGGGGGGGGTCCGCGGATGCTAAGCCGACCCCCCCCCCCCCCCCCCCAATGGGGGGTTCGGGGCCCGCTTAAAATTTTTGGTATTTTAGAGGGCGAATGATGCCATTTTGTGCGGTTTAGAATTATAATTCAGCTAGACAGAATTCTTATTTCATGAGGGTACCAGAAATCGAAGGGGGGGAGGGGGTCAGGATCTCCCTGACTCCCCTCTAAATCCGCCACTGAAATGTACTGTTTAGGCTGGTTGTTCACAACTGAGCCGACTGGTATTTTTTCATAAAAATAAATAACGACCATAGTAAGCTAGAATTATTTTGTACTTAATTCAACTATATGTTGGTTGCTGCATTAGTAAAAATGTCACTCGGTAATCGTTAAAATGAGATAATGTTATTTATTATTTCATTAAACATTTGAGGAGTCACGCATACATGAAACAATTACCATCACTTACAGAGAGAGAAAAGATATTTTTCTGTAAAATTAAAAGGATAATGAGATCTATATTTCACAATAAAAACATTGTGAACAACTCATAGAAATATGTTTTACCACAAAAATGGCAGTTATAGCTATTATTCTGAGCTTGTCTTTAGACCACGTGACCTCCATTGATGGCTATACTCTGTTATAATCTCTTAAGACAGATTATTACAGATTATAACAAAAAAAAAAAATTCAGAAAAAGACCAGGGACTTACTTTGAATGAAAAAATGGATTCATTAACCATTGGTAAGTATGGGAAAATTGTTGTTTACTCCAGGAAAATCAATTTTTTTTTGGCCAGAACGAAGAGTTATTATCCCTTTAAATACAATAAAATCAAAGAATACACTGCTTATCGATAAGCCCCATATAAGTTAGACAAAGACAGGAAAGATAGAAAATGGTTTTATTGATATCTAATATCATATCACATAATTGTTCACATTCACTCTCATGCACACTACACTTATTCGTTTTTGGCTCTCACGAGCTCATTTGAGATTGTTTTTACTCAAGTTTCTTAACTTGCGCATTGATTTAAAAACCAAGATTGCAATGCAAAGTCTTTGCGATATGAGTTTGTAAGCTTTGCTTGTAACAATCATTTATGCTTCAAAAGCTCTGTAATCTATGACAAGTTTTAATGAAACAAGATGGCAGCAAAGTGTCCACTGTGCGTCTCAACCAAAACTTTTGAGCCTCGTGTCCTCCTCTGGAGGAACGACACACTTCCCACAATCCCCATTAAGATCCCGGCAGATGAGGAGAGCTGTGGTGGCCAAGTCATCCTGGTTCCGACTGGTGGCGCCACCGTAGCTGGAAGGTTGAGACGGTCCCTGTTCTGTAGTGCCGAGCGGGATCCCGGCATCGAAGCTTTTATCTACAATACACAGCGGGTCCATGGCTGGCTCTATAGCAGGTTCAGGCACGAACACGGCTAGTTCACAGGCTTCAGTCTCTCGTTGCATACCTATAAAATAGCAGTGCCTTTTATTATTTCATCATGAAAAAACAGTTGTTTTCCAAGAATCCCCTCGATTCAAGTTTTTTTATTATTTATTTTAAAAAGTGTCGCATATTCTTGAAACGTAAAATGCATAAAAACCAGTATAAAATATTTTATTTTTAAAAATAAATTTAACAAATTTTACTTACAAAGAAATTATTTAACCTATACATTGTCACTAAGGGATAGAGAAAGAAAAAGACGGAGAGACAATAAAGATAAAACACTCACTCCTCTTTCGATATCTCTTGCGCAGTCTACAAATCAGAACCGCGATGGCTACGCTGACGAGAGCAAAAACCACAGCCAAGGCGACCACGCCAACCACTGTGAATGTAACTCCACGGATGACCGGTAGAGGGCGATCTGTCTCTCGAGGAAGGATGGGTGTGGTCGAGGCAGGGGGGTCGAGGTCGGAAGGTCCAGGTGAATATTTGCTAGGCCCGGTCTCTGGCGCTCGTGTACTTAGTCGCAGGGCATTGTACGCTGAAAATGCATAAATGAATAGACATTCAATTAATATCCTAAAGAAGACAAGGCCCTTGTTTCACAGAAAAATAGTCAGTTCGCTGGCTTAGTTGACTAGGATATCGATGAGAATGGTGTAACGCTGTTCCTGATAGGGTAAGATGTGATTAAGTTCTACAGTCACAAAATTTGTCATTTATTTGGGATAATCTGCGACATGTGACATCTAATTTTTGAAATAATTATTCCCGTACTATTAAACAGCATAATTTAATAAAACTATCTGCAATACGGTTGCCTGTCAGGAGTTTAAGTACCGAGATTTGACCTTCACATGTACGCTAACGATACTCGGCTGTACTGCCTGTAACATCAATAAATTCCCTGAAATTTCCTTAACGAAAAAGAAAGTCGAATTTTCAATCTTACGGCATGTTTAGTAAAGAACAAATTAATGATAAAACAGACTATTAAGGCTTTCTGTCTGTGGTCAATAAAATTCCCCAAAATTTTAAGTTATACATATCATTCATATCAGAAATTTGACTATCCAAGTGGTTTCTCTACAGCTACCATTCTAAATGCCCCATATTACACCTCGACTAGATAACTGCTGCCCTTTAACAGGACCACGGAAAATATGTGTAGACCTACTCTTCTCCATCGCGAGTAGAAAACAAAACGACCTTCTATTTATCTAAAGACATGTAGGCCTATGTGAATATCTAGTGAAAAAGCAATGTCGCCCTGGTAGAGGGTAGATAACTGCAATTTTCTTGTTCATGGATGTTCACGAGAATTATTAAAACGTCTGCAACATATTCAAAATTTCTCTGCTCAAGTTCCTACTCGCACACCTGGCGACAGTCACGTTTTCCCTATCCTCAAACAACTTCACGGGCTACCTTTGAAAGCACGGCTTCTTTTTAACTTTTAGTAAGATAAAACGCTCACGCCGCTTTTTACAACTTGGCCCTACCATATTTATATGAGCTGCATGAAGCATAAACTCACGACCCCCCCCCCCCTACCTCCGTCTCATCATTTACTGTAAACACCGTGTAAAGCTAGACTTGCTATATAGTGACAATTCTTTTAAAGTCGCTGCTCATAGGAAATGAAATTTACTTCCACTGTTAATTTGTAGGACAGACTATCCGGCTACTTGAAAAGAGAGTCCAGACCTACCTTTAAAAATATTTCATGAGTAGAAATTCTATAAACGACCTTTAAAGCGAGTGATGAGGTGCATTTTAAATTTCTGAATTATTTGTATCAATCAATTTTCCTGCTTTAATTATTTTTCTTTTCTTTTACTAGCCTTTTTTATTATCTATTCATATTCCACTGTTTTTAAAGTCTTCTCAAAATAAATATTATTATCCTATTGTTATTAATTTAAACGATTTAATAAAACCGAGAATTTTCACTTCTTTCAAATAAATAACGATACACATCCTCATAAGCAAATAAACTACTTTGAGGTTAATTTTACTGTTCTGGGGACCGTTTCGAGAAGCTTTCTTTAGTTAATTAGCATCGCAGATTTCTGTTGAGAAATATCACTGGATAATGTAATCTTTTCCTTTGATTTCAATTTTTTATCGAAGGAAATAAAAATGGACGACTAGAAAGTGGGTCATATACAATACACGATCATATAAAATCCTACACTGAGAGGGGTTTTTTTTCTGGTGTCATCTACGGCATAATACAGTAGACAGAAAGGCTAGATAACTCTTCTACGGGGCAATCGTGATTTGTCACCTCCCTATCACTGCTCATGCTCGCACTGCGTCCATAGGCGCGTGAGCAGTTAGACCCAGCGGAAGCTATCAGAGCGGTACATCGTCACCTACCTCTACAGTGTTGCATACAATCAAACTGCATCAGCTGGTTGTCCGTGGCACCACAAGGTAAACTACAGTCCACACATCGTAAAACACCCGGTTCACAATACTGGAAAACTGGAAGACAGCCACTACAGGGTGACATGGTCGTTATTCTGACGCTGGCGTGGTAAGCGCGGCACACGTGAAAGGACGGCGTGTCCGGGCACGTTAAGAAGTCGACGCCTTTTTCACTCCCGTTGAAATATCGGTGGAATGTTGTCGTGAATAGTATAAGGCAGTTAATATCTAGACATTCTTCATCCTTTTTTTTTAATTTATGTTAGTCAACTTCTCGCAGCGTTACTTCTGATATTTTTAATGAATCCCCCCCCCCTCCCCCGCGCGGGATAACGTAAATGTTTCGTCTCCATTGCTTTACAATCAGTTACAGTGGACTTATCTTGCACAAGTGGATACTTATTAGATATAAACTTTTAAAATGAATTTTAATCGCTTTAAATGTCCAATTTTAACGTCGCTTATACCATGTAGGATATTCATAAAAAAATTGATTAAATTTGAATATCGTTCGATCTGACGTAGGCCCTACATATGAGCCCTTATGAAAATCTCTCGCTGCTATGACCTTCCTTGTGTGTTATCCACTTTGGTGCTTAGAAAAGCAACAGAAGTTATTTGAACAGGAGATTCGCAAATTTTAATCAATAAACCTTGGCATCCATCTCTGCTATTTTAACCTAGCAATTAAAGCATCAACTTATGACTAACTTCCCGCGACAAATAAATTGATATAGACCTACAACTTTTGTTCAATTTTATTTGAAGATAAGAAGGATTATAATATCAACTAATTTGTAAGCGCATTTAAAACGGAAATGGCTTAAATTATATTCGATATGCTCATTCTTCGAGTCGATCCCGTAGTGTACATGATAAGGAACTATAACCTGCTATGGGACGATATGGTGGATGTTTATGAATGAGGACTAATTAAGACTCGAATCAAATCTATGAACAGTAAGTACAAAACCATTTGCAAAATATTTTAAATGGTTATTTAAACAGTTATTTTTTAAGTAATTAGTTATTATTGTTGCGTGACAGCCTAAAGGCTCTTTTCGGAATACAGCTGCCAATAAAAAAAACAATTAAGACACTTGCTTTCTTGGTATTCATCAATAAATTATCATTATCAGAGTATGATAATATTTGTTATTACATTATTACCATTCATTGCCATTCATACAAAGTAAAAGCATATAACACTGGCTGGCGAATCACAGTTGGCCCGAAACACGCTTTCATTTTACCATTGTACCAGTAAGTCCACGCTGATTCTATGGGTTTACCTTTGGAGGGGTATATCTAACTGACAAATTCTTAGCACACATAGAGACAAACATAGGCCCCTACCCTGCATAAATATTTGATATGTTTGAGTTACATGCATCTAGCAATTTAGATAATTTATAGATAGGGGTATTTTACATGTACATGAGATTTTATATGTTATGCCTAAAGGGTCATCCATTTTTTGTCATTTTCACAGGTCTACAAACCGTACGCTGGGGGAGGGGGGGGTTAATATCCACATTTGAAATAATAAAATTGATGATCCAAATTGCTGTGAAAGCTCATCATTTTTAGCTTTTTACCTTCATTGTACCTTCTGTGTGTGTGTGTGTGGGGGGGGGGGGGGACTGGATATAAGTCTACATAGACTTGTGAAAATGAACCAAATGGATGGCCCATAATAGGACAGCTTGACAAAAAACATGCGAATAAAAATATACACTGCCATTAAATACCACCGCAACACAGACAACATGAAATAAAAACATTTCACAAAGTTTTTGTTCGTGAATAGCTTTGCTTGAAAAAATGAAGACACAACAAAAGCTTATATTCAGCTTTCTATGGATCAAAGTATGATTTTCAAGCTGACGAAGCTATGACAAGACAAAATGGTTATGGAATGTTGCTTAGCATTCTGAAGCCGCCCCTATCACAGCCGGGCCCTCCCCTTTTGTAACCTGGATTCATCATTGTCACTCATTCTGTTCTGTGACTGGCATCATGGGCGTGGTCTGCTCTGTGTCTGACACCAGGGGCGTGGTCTGCTCTTTGACTGGCATCATGGGCGTGGTCTGCTCTGTGACTGGAATCATTGGTGTGGTCATCTCGTGAGATTGAGGGACTTGATGGTCAGTTGGGACTGCTACGATATGAGGACGACACTGCTGATGGCCGCGTCTGTGACACCTGGGACCACACACTAAGAAAGACAGGGTAGAAGTGAAGTCCTTGTTGAAGGGTGGTATTAAAATATAAAAAAGTGAATCGAAGAATATTTGCAGAGAGAGAGTTAAGGGAGTAAAAAAAAGCTAAACATTTTTAAAAACGAAGTTCAACACATTGTAATTTATATTGTAGTATAGAGAATACCTCTTTACTCACCGTTTGCTTTTTTTCTCCGCAAAAAGATGATCACGGCTACAGCTGTAAGTGCAAGCGCAAGTCCCCCTAAAAACCCTGCCGAGAAAATCAGCCCGTGAGTCAACACTTCGTCCCGACTACATGCTTTGGACTGTGGAATTGTGATATTTTGGCCAGAGGCAGCCGGCCCCTCAGACACCGCCTCCGCCTGGGTCGAGGGAACATCGGTGGGCCTTGATGGAGTTGAAATCTCTGGGTCACAGAGGGAAGGGCAGTGATGGGTGATGCAGGCGGTGACAAAGACTGTAACATAATATAATAAAGACTTATGTATAGTGCGACGTAATGGTGTTGTAAAACACCATTCAATAAATAGAAACGCAAGCCACTTACACAAAAAGAAAAAAAACTAAAACACCTGTACAGTGCTTGACAAAAACATTAAATTAACAGTGGTGAATAATCAGGATATTGAGCCCGGTGCTTATGGTAAATAAGCTACGTACAGGGGCGGATCCAGGATTATGCGAAGCCGACCCCCCCCCCCTTTTTGGTGAACGGTGCCATTTGGTACAGTTTAGAACTGTGATTCAGCTAGTCAAAATTCTAAATTTAAGCGGGGACCATTGCTGTGATTTTTTTTTATCGGAAATCGAAGGGGAGGGCGTCAGGACCCCCCTGACACACCCCTAAATCCGCCACTGTTCATATATGATGATATGCGTTAAGTGTTAATGCTTCCGTGGGGGTTACCTTCACAAGCCTTGATTATGCTGACGTTTGCGTTACTGGCGTAGTCGTACTCGGCCTTACATCTGGCACATCGGCCTATTCCCTCATCATAATACTCCAGGATTGGCTGACAATTTTCTTTTGATACCGGCTGACGAGGAATAGCGTTGAGACCGCTAACTACAGTAAACATTAAACAAACTAAAAATGACCAAAATATAGAATAAATCGGCTTCATGTCCAACATTATGTCTAAAGTGCTTCTTCTTTCAATTTCCTTTCTTCTAATGAGTTGCTGTAGCGCACAATAAGAAGAGCTCGTTTTGCGGACAAATAAAAATTCCCATATTTTTATTTATTAAATAAAGTCCCCTTTGCCCTATTAACAGCACATTGACATGCACGCGCCCTACAACAGGTGTGTCCTTATGGTAATTAGAGCTTAACAATACCAGATCCACCAATATAGCGCATGATGTATCTGGGGAATATTTTGAGTATTGCGTTATAATTAACCACTATGGCATACCTATTTAAAGCACTTATTGACACGTCGATTTAAAGAGCTTTTTGGATGTACGTAGGTTTTTCCTTGTTACGCTCTTACGGTGCAGTTTTTAAATAACACTAAAAATTGAAGTAAGCGTGTGTAATGTCACCTTTACAGTAGGTTTACAGTAACTAAAGAAAGATCACAGGGTTTCAGTAAATGATATTAACTGATATGTATCGATTGACGGGATCAATATTATTGTATTGCCCCCATAACACTATCGCTGAGAGTTGTGATTTTGAACAGCGTCATGTATGTTGTATTCAGCTATGTAGAAAGAATTGGCCCTGTTACTGTTTCCGCACACCTGGAGGTTATGTATTGTATTGATATTGTTCAATGACTTGCAAATTTGTTATCAGTTTTTCACGAAACCTTCGGAATTTTCGTTGTCTTAAAATAACGCAGGTATCTAATGCAGATATCTATATGGAGAAGCCGGTTGTTTTAATTCAGGGTTCGATAAGAACTGAAAACACAAAAAGAATGCTGAATATCGCCAGGTGTAGGTCAAAGATCACTATATATCCGGTCATACGTGGCAGCTTCTTCCCGCCGTCTGTATGCATTAACGTGAATTTACCAATAAAAATTAAAAACTGCTCATGAACCGTTTATCGCGGTGTTGTGGAAAGTACTACCTTTGGCATTGTTACTTGATGTTTACTTTTATAGCAGACTTCCTGACCTCGGTAGAAAGCCACGTTGACTAAAGGAATTTCCCGCGAGTGTGAATTGTTAGGCTTTCTGTTACACGAACCCTCAGTTTCGTTACACCGGCTTTCAACGTCTGTATTACACGCGGAAGAGGTCAGCGATACAAAACGACACGCCATTTTTTTTTGCCAGACAGAGATGAGGCAATAAGCAAGCCGTTAATAATGAGTGGCCAGTCATTTAAACTAAAATATCCAATTAAAAATGGAACAAACATCAAATCCAAGTGCAAAGACAGGTCAAGCAATTATACTCAAGTAGGACGAAATCGTTTTTCACCCAAAGTAATTTTATTCTGGCGAGAAAATCCCATTAAGTGTCCCTTTATCTTGTCAATTTTCTGGACCCCCTCCCCCCTTTCCCCCCCCCCCCCCCAAGTTAACCCCACCAGAAAGATGACATAGAACCGTTTGAAGATAAAATTTCGACTAAGAGCTGAGGGTCCGTGTAACAGAAGATCCGCTTTCCGTATCGTTATAATGGCTAGGGATAGTCTGACCTACGTGGGTCAAAATCTAGGGTGAGGTTAACCTGTACAAATGAATAAGAAAGGGACTCTTCATCATGGGGGACTCTGTCACATTACACTGGCGTTTACAATTACTCAGTGAGACTTGAAATGTGCTTACAATTTCTTTGCAATTTTGGAAATCTTTTATCTCTTCAAATTTATTGGATGTTATTTTTTTATTACAGCCTTTATATGTCCATACTAACAGGAACATAATTTACCGACATTATTTTTTGACATCCACAAATATCAGTCTCAATATCTGTTATTGTACATTTCTTCCTCTTGGAATTGAAAAAGTCTCAGTCCACTTGTACATGCAAAAATTAAATAACTTTTTTTTTGTTTTTTTAAATCCCCAAGAATCCATTTTGCTATGTGGTAGCACTGATATCAAGGCTTCAAGGTCTTCATTACCTGGAAAATATTAAAAAGAAAATTTTATTCTTGAAGCTGTTTGTCTCATTGGATCTATTCTTACAAAACATACAACAAACATCATTTTGCAAACAGAAAAGTCTCCCAATTTTTGACATCAATTTGATAACAGATTTTCAAACAATAAATATCTGGTGAATAGTTTTTGCAAATCAGATTTCCATCTGAGAGAGAAAAAAATTATTTCTAAATCAACCTTCACATACACCTACCTCCTCAAACTTATGGATCTGCCGGATAAAAAAATCTCCATAGCGACGCGCCACCTTGGTGTCTGCTATGTGAATCATATCCTGCAAGGGGGATTAAAAGAAAAACTTGATGAACATAAATTACACAAAAGATATCTTTCCTGAATTCAAAGCTAGCAACCTTAAAGATTTGAATAATCTATTATGGGGTAGTCTTTTATGTAAGACTGCATACATTTATTCTTTTGCTCATAAATGTGAGCTATTCATTTTCATATCTTGGAAAGTAAAGCATCTACTGAAGAAAAGGAAGATTGTTCTGAATTTTGTTGTTTTGGTCCAAAACTGTTTCCCCAAGACCTGACATTGAGGCAAAGTGAAAAAAGGCGCCGAGAGGCTAACCTGTTTTTCCTAATTTGGAAAAAGATGATAAAATTATTTTAAAAGCAACACAACCCATTCCCTTACAAAAATCATCTTAAGATGTAACTTTCCAAGCCTTCTTACCTGATCAATATAGAAATCCACTTCAGAAGCAGACTGAAACTCTCCCTCCAAACCACTGCAGCTCCCTGTCCACACCACGTTCTTCATCTTGTGCTGAAATAACAGGAACAATGTGTTAGGTGTGACTGTCTCAACCAACTACTCATTGTGTTTGCAATAGAGTTAACTGCGATTGTTTTAACCAACCACTAAAATTATGACCTTGAGAATATTCTCTAAGTTGAGTAAATGATAAAATTCAATGTTTTATCTATTTAGCAAAGGTCACAAATGAAAAATTAATCTTAAATATAAAATCATTTTTCTTTAGTACCCAAAAGATGACTACAAGACATTATGTAAAGAAATACCTACCTTAAAACACATTAAATGATTTCTCAGATCCTCTTCTGACTAAAAATGAAAAAAAAAAAAATACAAACCAGTGAGTTGTTAAACAGTGAAGTTTTGTTGCAATTTTATTTTCCAGTACAAAATTATTTAAATTTTTTCACAGAGAAGTAGTTACTGTATCACAGAGTGCAAAAAAAAAGGTGCAAAGAGCAGTGACACAAGGGGGGTTCTGGTTCTCGTTCCCTCTTCCTAATCCTGTATCTAACATAATTAATATGATCTATTATATCTTACCGTTTCCATAAAAGCTGCTAGCTTTGATAAAGTCAGTGTGGTGTACAGCTTCAGATAGCTGAAAAAAAAGGGGTAAAAAGTTATAACCACCACAACTAACGCCATTCAAAATTCCATGACTTTTTTCTCTGTAAAATCCATGTCATGATTTTTAAATGTAAATTTTAAGCTATAAAATGCTGCATAATTTTAAACTGTAAAATGCAGCATAAAGACTGCTGGTTATTACTACATAACCTATTAAACCCAGTCATGGTTGGGAATGCTACAGCAAACAACATTAGTAGTGCACTGGCAAATTGATTTATGTGTGCGTTAACTGATTACATATCTTATTTACAAATCAAGATTTATAATTTATACTGACTGGATACATGATAGTGTAAGAAAAAAATCTCCTACAATACAGACATTCCTAAAATAATAAGATGAAAATGTAATTGAGCTTGAATAAAATTCCCTAAGATCAGGAAATCTCCTCAAGCATCCCCTCCTTGGTTGTGTTAGATGTGACAGTACACAATGTGTCTGTGCTCACCTTCTAATAGTTGGTAGCAATGCCTGCTGGGTAACCTCATCCATAAACACCTTTAACTGCTGCATAAACGGTTCCTGGAGAACAATAACATGGAATCATCTAGCTATACTATTCACATCATTTTCATATTAAGGGCTATTACTTCACATTTTTAGAATCTTTAACAGTCACTTACTCATTCAGATAATCTTCTATAGATATTTACACATTCAGTATTGTTACAAAATCTATTACACAATCCTTTACAGAAAATAACTTTTTTTTACATTTTTTTTAATTGAAATCTCCCTTTGCTTAAAGCTAGGAACATGGAAATGGCACTCATTGTGGTTAAACCATCCAAATTAGTGAAGAAAAACTGATATTCATAAAAAAAACCTATGTGTGATTTTTTGTCTTACCTTGTGGAAGTTGGCAGGTGTGGCGTCATAGTTTGGCGGACAGGGAGACAGGAACTTAGGACAGGCAAAAGAAAAGCTGTTCTGAAACTCCAGTACGTCCCTGAAAGTGAAAGCAACTTGTGTTAAAAAGACAACCAAACATGTTAACTTAAAATACTCCATGAGGATATACCAAAAGTGATATTACATGTGGATCAAGAAAGATATATTATATATATAATGATGATAAGAAAAATTTAATATTGAACTCTACAAGCACTTTTCAAAACAGAGAGAAAAAGGGCACTTAAAAGTGTACCAGTATTTTATACTTAAAATCCTTACTACTTAAAGACAAGGTCAGTTCACAAAATTTCAATGTTTTTTCAAATTCATGCACCCCATATACATCACACAGCAAGCACTTGCCCTTTCTGCATCTTGAGCATCCTGTCTCCAAACTTCTCCCTGAGCTGTGTGTGCACACTCTCATCTATCCTCATAGGGTGCAGCACTAGACAGATAGCCAGGAGGGTGTACATCTGCTCATTCTGCTTGTTGATCTACAGGGAAGTGAACACAGATCATTTACATATGTATATTTGTATTAACCTTTTTTTTTAAGTTATGCATAAAATGAACCAGGACAAGCAGTGGACATGACCCTGAATAAAAACATTTTAATTGCTTGTTTATTCATTAGACACAAAAGCAAAAGCAGAAAAGGTTACACAAAATTATATGAACTTCAGATGCTCAAGATGAGTCTATATGGGTACAGCCCTCCATCTTTTAACAACAAAAAAATGACAAAAAGTGAGCATGTTCACACCCGACACTTAGAACACTTTGCTATAGGTGATAATTACACTCTGCCTCACTTTTTAAACAGACTGCAAAATACGCCTTTTAAGCTACCTGACAGGTGTGAATACAATCTTTGTTTGGTACCAGTGTTATCTTTGTGATCATCTCATCCAACTAATTATTGTGATAGTTGTGACTCTCTCAACCAGCTACTCATTGTGTTAGCAGTAGTGTGTTTATGTGTGAATATCATCTTTACCTGGTCATACAGCTGTGCTTTATTCTGGAACATCTGCTTGGTTCTCTGGATGTACAACAAGATGTTGGAGAAGGTACGTATGGAGTCCTGGTAACGACGCATCATCATGTACGCGAAACCCACGTAGTAATACGTGGTGATCTGACAGGCGGGCACGCGGGAGTACATGTTCTGGAAATATAACCAGCATTTTGTGATAACTTTATGGATATGTGGAGTGTACATATGTGTCAGTGAGGGATTTCACTATGAGGGGATCACAATGAAATTACACCAGACAGACAAAAACTGAATTATCCTGAATTCAAATTGATCTTGTTCTATGAAAAAAAAAAAGGCAAACCCATGTGCAATTATTATAAACTATGTTATTAAGATGGCAAAGATATATTTCAACACCACACAGCTATATTATACACTATAGCTAATAAGTCCCCGGTCACTTTAATAGCACACGCTGTCTACATCAGACGCGCTAATGCGCACGTCCCCGACAGAGTTAATGATAGGGGGATTACGATGGACANCTTCTCAAACCATCTGACATGAGTCTAGGTTAAAAAAAAAACTCTGAACATTTATTGAATCTCAAACAAGACTTATCTCAGGAACCACGAGAATTGAATTTAAAAATGCAAAATTCCGTGTTTCCACGGAAGAAGCTCATGTCTGCACCGTAGAACATATTATACCAGTACACACTAGCAGCAAACACTTCATGGGAGAATAACAATGATAGTGAGCAGTACAAACAACCCCTTCACCTGTGACGATACACAGCATTCAATGGCCTACAAACCTTCTTATTGAAGTCAATATTCTCCAGTACTTTAAGGGCCTGGTAGTAGTCACCCAGGAGAGAGTGAAGCCTCAGCAGCCCAATCAGACTGAAGTAACCCAGCATCTTGTACAGAGAGTGGCGACCAAACTCCCCCGCCACGCTGTCCGGGTCTCCTATTAGTGGGATAAATATACCGGACATGTCAGAGTATGTGATAAACAAGTCCCTATTTAAATTTAATCTTATTAATCTTATATTTAATCTATTTATCTTTAATCTAATCAAAGAATAAAGTATAGCCAACAAAATATAACGAATGAAGAGAACACGAAATGTTCAAGATTAAGGTCTTCCTTTGTCTCACATTTCTTAATAATGACAACAACCATTAGATGTTTTGAAACTGGAAAACCTGTATTTTCATTTTAAGATTTAATATAATACGATTTCTTCTGAGATACTAGTATCAGATTCAAATGTGTGTACATGCACTTGCGTGTGTAATATAATGGACATTTTATTGTAATTAAATTGAGAGACAGTGGTGTAGACAGATCTCAAACAATTATCAAATCTGAGCAAAAATGTTCATTAGCTTGGTAGTTGGATCATAAATGAAAATTATCAAACACAAGCCGAAATATTTTTGTACTGTTAGCTTACATTAACTGACATTTATAACATCTCCTCACTATAGTCTGATGAAGGCCTACATCCAGGTTGGCCGTAAGCTAATGATATGAAAATATTTCGGCTTGTGTTTGATAGTTTTCATTTATGAAGTATCCAATCTCCTCACCTCCACTGGTGTAGACTTCCAGCTGTCTGTTTATGTTGGACTTGTCCACGAGAGAGTGGAGGACATTGAGAACAGAGTGCACATTCCAGATCTGAAATAAAACAAGATTATCAACACTCTAGACATATACACAGAGGTAACGCCATTTTGTTGCAAATTATGAGACAATTTTGGTTATGAAATATTTTCTTTTTAAAAGCCTGCATTTATTGTCTCAAAGATTTATAAAAGCTTTTTCAAGCAATGAATTAACTTTTTCTTGCTACAAATAGGCATTTTTAGGAAATGCTATTCTTCACCAAGACAAAAACCAAATGAGATAATAAGAGATCTTCAAAATGAACTATACTGTTTGGAAATTTGAAGAGGGATGCTTGAAATGCCAATGTTGTAAATACCAAGTTATATATTTTTCCCTACGTTAATTCTGATAAAAATAAAACACATAATCTAAATCATTCACTGTTTATTTTCAAACATAAGAAAATGAAGTACCTGTGTTCTGATAATGTGATAACAATTTTGTAATAACATGCAATGAATATTAAAAAGGGCACAAGAAGCAGACTTTATACACAAATAGATAATATACAATACCTTGGGATTCCTCCTCAAATGTTCCACCTCATCCTCAGACTTCTTGCCAAGTTTGCACCTGTACTGACTAAATGACTGGAACTGGAAGACAATTTTGGGCATCAAGTAAAATTCTAGTACATACATGGTAACTATAAAATATCAAATATCTATTTATATTATGACATTGTCTTTCAATTAATAATAATTACTGAAACTGTCCAAAGCATCTATACATATTTTAAAACCCTTGTTAGCAACTCCTGATGAGGTTGAAACTACCCCCTTAGCAAGAACGAAGTAATTTTTCTTCAGTCAAGAGCTAATATTGAGATTTTTACCTCCAATATTTCAATGTCTACCAGAACATCTTCATCAGTGAAGCCTTTTGAAATATAAACTAGCCTACTGAAATGTAAACATTATCTTTGTCTTCGTGATTCACACCAACTGTTTTATCAAGTCAAGTTAAATGCGTTCCATTTGACCCACCTGGTAGATAAACTCATCAATGATGTCCCACAGCCACTGGTTAGGTAGCTCTAGGGGCACTGGGCTCTCTGCACCTAGACACATAACATATAACATATAACATAGGGGCACTGGGCTCTCTGCGCCTAGATACATAACAGAGGGGCGCAATACAGTTTATCTTTTATATACAGGTTATGAGTATTTCTGTTCAAGGAGAATGAATGTATGTGTTTAGATTTTCAGATAAAATCTACTGAACTATAAATTATAATTTCACTTTTACTCCATAGTCAAGCCTTACACAACTGAATGACACTCACTAAGAATGTAATTGAAAAGGTTGCAGTAGTTGTAGTAGGATTCAAATCTCTGCTCCTGTGTTGGCCCAGTCTGGAATGGATTTAAGAAAAAGTTAATACCATATATCATTTGTTGAATTTTTCGAAGTACCCTCTCTCTGATCTCATCAAATACGGACAATTTTTTTCTGAAGTAAACTCAATGCCATAGTTATTTCTTCCTGAATGTTTTAAACTTAACTGAGTTTTATTTCTGATGATCGTTTCTCAAAAGAAAGAAAAATACACTCTAGAAATTTTCAATTACTGCATTATTTACTGAAATAAAACATAAAAGATATAACACACAGAAACTTACTGCGACTCTGGCATAGATGTGTCTGTAGTATAACTCTCTGTATAAGATCAGAAAGACAGGGTCGTCTCCGACCACAGGGGCTATAATCTCTGCCTCTGGCCAGGCCGAGTTCTTGAAGAACCTGTCAGTTAGCTTGTTGAAACTGGATTGAAAAACATTATAAAGTAAGAAGAAATTGTAAAAGAAAAAAGTTAACTTTATGGGTTTCACCTATAAAAAGAGCAAGAGTGTACTGTTGAGATAAGATTCACCTTCTTCCGAGTACTGTGAAAAATTTGGCCCTGACCTTCAAAAATGAAAATAAACACCTCTTGTCAAACCCTTTCTTAAAATATTTTAAACTACTTTTTTTTTACTTTAAATGCATGCTTTGCTTAAAACAACTCTCTTTAGAACTTTATCTAAACCAGCTATTAAATTCTAAGACTTAATAAAAATAGCACATTCTGTGTACCCATTCTCATAAGCATTCTGTATTTCAAAGAGGTTCTGCTCATGCACACATTTCTGGAAGTAGACCAAGAAGTTCTTGATCACTTCAGGCACAATGTAGGTGGACTGCTGGTACTGCCTCTCGTATTCCAAGTCCTGACGAGGATCCCCTGGGGACAACAAAATAATAATCCATGTCAGAAGTCTAATTAACAGAACCTTAAAATTTTTCCTAATCTCTCCCAGTTTAACTTTCAACAATGCTGACATATATTAAATCTAACCATTTATTAAACTCGTAAAGAGGACAATATATTATAAGAAAAACATTAAGTAGACAACTACAGAAGATAAATATTATTATAATATAATAAATACTTGTCAAGGAGGAAGAAAAAACTTACCCGTATGCAGTTCGTACTCTGATTGTGATGGATAATAGGCATAGGGATCAAACTGAAAACATACAGAACAGAACGTTTTTATGTCTGTCATCCCAAAAGATGTGAAGAGTAAATTCAAGTCCAGCAATGAACAGCAACAATGCCATAAAATCTAACTAAGAAGGGAGAGATTAAATATGCCATAAAGTGTTTCAAACTGTGTTGTTAATGTTTATAAAATCATAATGTTGTACTGAACATGTAATAAAATGGTTATGAGACTTAAAATTCAAAGATAATTCATCTTGCCATGCCCCCTTTTAGTAAAAATCGTTCACACCTGCAACCGGCAGACAACTGACATATGGAGTCTAAACTAAGACGAAATTCACAAGTAAGAACTGAAAAAAACTTGAGACTGTTTCGGGGTTTTGATTGTAATTGGGAAAATTGTAAAAAGGTTGAACAATTTACCTCTGCTGCCCCTTGCTCCACAAATTCCTCGCTGTACATCTTCAATAGATTTTGCCATGCACGAGGGGAAAAATGGCGGCCTGTTTTCCTGATTTGGTCGTTGAAAAACGTTCTCATTATTGAAAATTAAAAAAAAACGTAAAGTGACTTTAGGTACTTTGTAACTATATTTCACTTTACGATTTGACAGTAGATTAGTAGGTAAGAAAATGGTATCTTTGTTAAGTATTTAATCATTTATATTAAATTATCTTCCTTCAGGAATGTTGCGGAGCTAGTCAATGTGAGTGAAGGTCGTTGCTGGCGTGTTCTACCAAAATTTTCTTTCTAAAAGCTGTTCTTTCGTCCTCATCTATTTGCAAATGTATTTACACTGTTGCATTATGGAATCTGGATGGTTAGAATCGGAACAATGGCTGTTGTGGAAGTGTAAATGGAAATGATTTGAGTTGCATGCGATGTCGCCATGATGATGATGATGATGGGGAAATTCATGAGTGGGTTATTTCCAAAGAAACCCGGAAACTGATAGTTCCGACGCCATTTTCCGACGCTTAGCTGTAAAGTCTTCTGATTTTGGGAAGCATAGACCTGGAACAATTGTCCGTACAGGAGCAAACACCCTCCGTCCGCAGTCTGGTCTCAGTTCTAAGAGTTCAGTTATACCAGGACTGTATCTAAATCTACAGATTGATATTGAATTAACAGCGAAAGACTGGGGCAGTGCAATCCAACAGAGGGACGCAGGCTTTGTGCATAATCTATAAAGGATTTGGTTTTGTACAACAATGTGACAATAGGCTTTCAAAACGACTGACTAGTTACGGAACGCCTATATCTCAAAGGAACTGGTTTTAGATTTTGATATAGAAACACATTCTTGAAAAACCTCAAGAACATTCTTATTGTTATTGCATATACGAATAGGAAATGCACATCTGCACAAGACTTATTCAGATGGGGAATTCTGTTTTTAAGCAGATGATTCCTACACTTATTTGGACACTGATAGCAGTGATTGCCCTCTGTATTCCTGCCGGCCATGCAGCACACATAGACTGCACATGGGACACTTACAGAGACGGAGGAACCGGTAGATGTGAGCCTTGCAGTGATCTCTGTCTTCCAGCTAGAGGAATGATGCAGGAATGCAGGAGACGCTGTGAAGGTAATTCAGGGTAGTCGTTTTCTTATAACACATATGAATAATTTTGTCTCTGAAAGCATTTGAACACTGAGCATTTGTTTCTTTTGTTCTGTTGTAGGAATTTAAACCCTTTGAAAATTATTAGTAACTTTTCTCACATAAAAAGTTTTATTATGGTTTATAGTATAGATTTAAATTATCTATCTATCTATCTATCTATCTATCTATCTATCTATATATATATATATATATATATATATATATATATATATATATATATATATATATATGCTAAATGAGGTAGAAATTGACAGAATGACAAATAAAAAGATAAATCTGTGAACTGACATAGTTACCATGGCATTTGTTCAGCATGTGCTTTAACATGTAGCTGAATGCCTCTTTGGCAGATTCCGAGAATCTACAGTGTAGACTACAGACCCATATAAGTGTAACAGAAATATTGGCTAGTAACTGAACAAATTCATAAATTTTTTCTCGTCTTGGTTCAGTCTTGCTAACATACCCCTGTATATGGTATGGAGACAGTGCATGGTGACATTCCAAGATGCATACAGTGATGATGGATTATTTTTTCCTTATTATTATTATTTTTTATCTTTCAATTTTATTTTTTCTGTAGACTTCTTACAAGGGAAGGCAGCTGGTGCTGAGCCTGGCGTTGGTAATAAAGCAGAGGCCAAAGATGAACCTGAAGGAAGACTGCCAGGCTGGGGGACTGCATTGCTGGTGGTAGTAGCACTGGTTGTCTTGTTAGTGATCTCTGCCATACTTTTTGGCATTTACAAATACAAGAGGAGAAATACTCAACATGCAGGTATTAACACTTGTCAAAGTAGATAGAAATTGTCTTTTAAAAAAGTAAGAAAAAGACTGATAGATGACTTAATGGCAAATTAATCTTTGTTGTATATCTATTTTGTAATTTATTGTTATTATTATTGTTATTGAAGGGCGAGATCAAAATCACTTGGTTCATCCCTCCTCTCTAAAATAGATTCATTTGCCCATTAATAAATCGTACATCTAGCACTTAAATCTTTTTAGATGGAGATACATCTGTAATGCAACCAATCAACCCAGCTAGAGTTCAGCCTGAAGAAGAAAACAGACCATGCGGTAAGAAAGGGACTGATAGATTACTTAATGGCAAATTTATCTTTCTTGTACATCTATAACTTATTACAGTTATTGTTATTGAAGGCCAAGTTCAGAATCACTTGATTCATCCCTCCTCTCTAAAATAGATTCATTTGCCCTTTAAAAAATCACACATTGAGCACTTATGTCTTTTTAGATGAAGATACATCTGTAATGCAACCAGTGGACCCAGCTGGAGATCAGCCTGAAGAAGAGGACAGACCATGCGGTAAGAAAAGGACTGATAGATTACTTAATGGCAAATTTAACTTTCTTGTACATCTATAATTTATTATGGTTATTGTTATTGAAAGCCAAGTTCAGAATCACTTGATTCATCCCTCCTCTCTAAAATAGATTCATTTGCCCTTTAAAAATCACACATTGAGAACTTATGTCTTTTTAGATCAAGATACACTTGTGATGATACCAGTTCAGCCTGAAGAAAAGGAAGGACCTTGCTGTACGGTGACCAGCAAGACCACTGCCTATCACCCCATTTCCACAGATTGTTAGATCGATCTATCCCTGTGGGGAGTCTCACTTGATTACTACAGCTTGGCCGGCTTAAGCGTCTGCCCCGCCTACTAAAAGCTGTAAGGGGGTAATTAACTATGGTACCAGCTCGGCTGACTGCAATTTAGCGTGAACCCCCAGGGAGTTAGGTCGATCTAAATCTTAATCTCTAGATCGATCTAAATCTCTGGGAAAGCACCCTATGAGAACAGCTGAAAAACAAAACTGGTTTAAAGAACAAACTCTTCAACATTTAAATAATACGAACTCCAAGGGCAGATCCAGAGATATTTGCCGACTGTCTTCCAAAATGTCTTTGTTGATCCATTCTCCATTTTTGACCATATCTTCCGACAGAAAAAATTAGATACCCATCAATGTAAACTTGAAACTCTGACCCCCCCCCCCCCCCCTTTTTTTTTTTTAGAAGTGGGCCCAGTCAAACACCCTCTTCAATATGCTTGGGTAAAATTTAAAGTTACCATTTACACAAGACCTTTAGAAAGTGCTGTGAGTCTGTGTTGATACTGACTTAACTGCCATTTTACTGGGTGGTTTCTTAGAGCCAGAATTTCATTGCATTTGAACAAATGATGTAGAAACAACAAGATTTTATGTTGGCTAATTGGCAGCTACTTATCTATGCACCAATGTATAAATTTATTGTAATCCAGTCACAAGTTTGTTTGTCATTCCCTTAAATGGTTAAAGAAATTTTGTTTTAAGAGCTAGTCTACCATCAATTTATTATACAATTTTTACCGGTGGATAACGTGTGGCTCGTAATGTTATGTTGTTAATAGATATCACTGCATTGTCCAAGATTTTGTGTGGGTGTGTGTGTGTGCAAGTGCTCAAAATGTGCCAAGTGAGGCAGATATGAAATGGTAGATGAGGACAGTTTCTAAAACTATAACAAGGGATGGATTGCTTGTTTTTGTATGATTTTGCTTCTTATACTTTTTATAGGGAAGGGGTGAGAAGGAAGATGCATGGGCTTCTGCCACCCCCCACCCCCCCCTACATCCACATTTGATGCTGGAAATTATAAGCTGCTGAACAAAAACCAGTATTACCCTTTTTTTAGTGCTAGTTAGGTACATTAGTGCTTATTTTGAGAATGAATCTTTGGTAGGCATTTTTAATGAGTCTGTGATCATGTATGTACATATCCCCAGCTTTGTCTAGATTACACCATGGTTGTGAGCACAAGACCTTGGTTTTGACTAATAACATTCCATTGTAGATCTTATATGTTACTTGTTGACTGCATTTTTTCGCTGTGATGAAGTTGAGGTATTTTTGATATTTGAGAGAAGGTGGCTGTACATATATTTATGAGTAATCAACTTATTTTATTGTAGAAAATTTTTGAAATATATTGTTGCCACCTTTTGCATTTATAAATTGTTAAAATTTGCAAACAATAAATATTAAGATTAAATAAAGAATGTTTAAAAAATGTCCATTGTCTTCATTTCTTCACTTCATTGTAATTTTTATAATGCACTAGATACAGTGACACATTGCCATTTCAGAAATTTTGTGACCATTTTGTCAGTATGTAGAATTAGAATATATTTATNGCGAGACGAGAAAAAATCATAGATAGAGCCTTATGACCCACTGTAGAATGATGCCGAAAAATACATCAACGACGTAGTTTATCGGCAGATAAACGTGTTTCCATTCTCGGCTGACTGAGGAAAGGTTTGAGAGAGCATTTAAAGAAGAGGCGGTTGAACCAATAGTGAGTAGGAAGTGTGCTGCAATCAAGACGAACAATACCGATCATAAATGGACAGCTAATAACCCCTAATTAAGCCTGGGTTACGCGCTGCTGTGTTGACTCCTTGCTGGGGAGCGGTAGCGGCCTCCTACTGCTGTGAGTAATCACGCATTGTCTTCTAACCTGCGGCTTAGTTGACTCCTTGCTGGGAAGGGGTAGCGGCCTCCTACTGCTGTGCGTATTCAAACATTGTCTTCTAACATGCGGCTACACGACGGTTGCATTGTATTAATAAAGTAATACCTATTCATAAGGAAGGGGGTGGATGGTAATTTTACGAGAATTAAATCAGTTACCGATCATACGCGTACCAATAGTCGTGTTTTTTTTAGCTATACGGTAGTTTACACCTGTCGCCGGCATATGGGATCTAAACTACAGCCGAAATTCACAAGTAAGAACTGAATAAAATTTGAGAGTTTTTCGGGGATCTGATAAATAAACCATTGGGAAATTTATAAAAGGTTGAACAACTTACCTCTGCTGCCCCTTGCTCCACAAATTCCTCGCTGTACATCTTCTGTCGTGCACGAGGGGAAAATGGCGGCCTATTTTTCTGATTTGGTCGATGAAAAACGTTCCCTATACTGAAAACTTTTAAAGAAAAATATGAATTATTGAATATTTTTTTACATATGTTTCTCTCTTGCCATTTGAAGACGGAATAATAAGTAAGAAAATTGTGATTTTGTAGAATATTAAGCCATTTTGTTAATTTATTCTCTTTCAGAAAATTTGCGGAGCTAGTCAATGAGGGGGTATCACGTGATTTTTGTGAGCCAATGAAAAAAGCCAAATTTGTACACTCCGTTGCTCATCGTGTGTTTTCTCTCATTTTTCGTCCTTCCTCTAATTTCCGAATGTACTAACACAGTGGCATTATGGAATTTGGATGGCTAGAACTGGAACAATACCTACTGTGGCAGTCACTGTGTGACAGTATAAGTGGAAATTATTTGAGATATCGCGGTGATTCCCAGTGTGTTTCCCCTGTTCAGTATGACCCGCCATGATGGGACGTATTTGGGGACATGAGTTAAAAAAATTACCGGCGTAATTCTTGGGATATTTCCAACGTCATGGATATTACCCTAACTGCGGGTATTTCCAACGAAAAAACCCGTCGTAAGGTTTTTGATTGACGTACAGTAACAGATATATTATACAACGCAGAACTGGAAGAACTGTCCACGGAGCAAACACCTTCCGTCCCCGTCTGCTGCTTCGGTTCATTGTCTGGTGGAATCTCAGAAGTGTTCAGTTAAACCAGGACTGCATGATACCCCAGAGATTGATATTGTATTAACTGGGAAACACTGGGGCAGTGCAATCCGAAAGAGAGACGCAGGCATCATTATTTAGAAGATTTGGTTCTGTACAACTATGTATAACAGAACGATTTCAAAACGACTGTAGCGATTTTGGGTGAGTGCAGAAAAATCCAGACCAGACCAGGAATCGAACCCGGGACCCCTCGCTTTCAGGGCGAGTGTTCTTACCTACTGAGCTACCCGGCCGGTTCTACCTGCCCCTGGCACTACACTCCTCCCCCCCAAATGCCGAAAGACGCGAGCCCTATCTGGCAACACCGCTGCCACCATTGTAGCGATTTGGGGTGAGTGCAGAAAAATCACCGACCAGACCAGGAATCGAACCCAGGACCCCTCGCTTACAGGGCGAGTGCTCTTACCTACTGAGCTACCCGGCCGGTTCTACCTGCCCCTGGCACTACACGACTGACATATTGCAGTTGTGATGACTATATTTGATGTGAACTGGTTTTTGAAATACATATTTGAAAACAAATTGCATCATTTTAATTTTACATTCTTATAAGTACTTGGACCCAGTAGATACTTATCAGTTATCTTGGAAGTAGAAACGTGCACCTGTGCCAGACTAAACCAAGCAAATGGAGATTTCTCCTGCTTTCTGCTATTCACTGATAGCAGTGATTGTCCTCTGTATTCCTGCCAGCAATGCAGCACACATTGACTGCACATGGGACACTTACAGAGACGGAGGAACCGGTAGATGTGAGCCTTGCAGTGATCTATGTCTTCCAGCTAGAGGAATGATGGAGGAATGCAGGAGACGCTGTGAAGGTAATTCAGGGTAGTCGTTTTCTTACAACACATATGAATAATTTTTTCTCTGAATGCATTTGAGCACTGAGCATTTGTTTCTTTTGTTCTGTTGAAAATTATTAGTAACTTTTCTCACATAAAAATGTTTTATTATGGTTTATAGTATAGATTTAAATTATCTATATGTAAATCTGCTAAATGAGGGAGAAATTGACAGAATGACAAATAAAAAGATAAATCTGTGAACTGACAAAGTTACCATGGCATTTGTACAGCATGTGCTTTAACATGTAGCTGAATGCCTCTTTGGCAGAGTCCGAGAATCTATAGTGTAGACTATACAGACCCATGTACGTGTAACAGAAATATTGGCTAGTAACTGAACAAATTCACAAATTTTTTCTCATCTTGGTTCAGTCTTGCTAACATATGTGCATGGTGACATTCCAAGATTCATGTGATTTGATGATGGATGATTTTTCTTCTTCTTATTTATCTATTTATTTATTTTAATCTTTCAATTTTTTTTTTTTTTTTCTGTAGACTTCTTACAGGGGAAGGCATCGACTGCTCAACCTGTCGTTGACAATGAAGTCGAGGACAAGGATGAACCTGAAAGAAATCTGCCGGACTGGGCGATTGTATTGCTGATGGTACTGGTTGTGGTAGTGATCTCTGCCATACTTTTTGCCATTTACCAATGCAAGAGGAGAAATACTCAACGTGCAGGTACTTACACTTGTCAAAGAAAAAAGCAAGAAAAGGACTAATAGATTACTTAATGGCAAATTTATCTTTCTTGTTATGTATATCTATTTTATAATTTATTATCATGTTATTTAAGGACGAGATCATAATTACTTGATTCATCCCCTACTCTCTGAAATAGATTCATTTGCTCTTTAATCAATCACACATTGAGCACTTATATCTTTTTAGATCGAGATACATCTGTGATGCAACCAATGCACCCAAGTGGAGTACAAGTTGTGGGAAACGACGTAACATGCTGTGTGGTGACCAGCAAGACCACTGTCTAAGAGAACAGCTGTAAAACAAAAGTTGTTTAGAGAACAAACTCTTCAATTTTTAAATAATGCTAACTTCAGGGGCGGATCCAGAGATGTGTCCTGACCATCTTCCAAATTATCTCTGTTGATCCATTCTCCATTTTTACTGTCTTCTGTCAGTGTTAACTTTTTTTTTTTTTTCAAACACCCTCTTCAATATGCTTGGGTAAAATTTACAGCTACCATTTAAAAGAGACCTTTAGAAAGTGCTGTGAGTCTGTGTTGATGTGGACTTAACTGCCATTTTACTGGGTTGTGTCTTGGTGCCAGAATTTCATTGCATTTGGACAAAAAATGTAGAAACAACAAGAATTTTATATGTTGGCTAATTGGCAGCTACTTATCTATGCACATATGTATTTACTGATGTCAGAGCTTCTGCAAATCCCAAGCTGGTCTCAAAGCCCACATGAGGGCCTGCCTATGAAGGGCCTCTAGCTCAACTCAGACAGTCATCTTCGGTAACGAAGGACAGCCTGATGGTGATGATGATGATGTATTTATTGTAAACCAGTCTCAAGTTTGTTTGTCATTCCCTTGAATGGATCCACATTTGGTGCTGGAAGTGATAAACTGTTGAACAAAACCCAGTGTAATCCTTTTATAGTGTCATTTAGGTATATAAGGGACCATTCAGATTGAAAAGAGCTGAGTGCTAGTAACGTCGCGACCTAAATATGGCGGACCTACATGAAAGGAAGACTGCTAATCCTTTTATGGTCTCTCCGCCTCTCACACGCCTCCCCACACGGCGTCCCTGCAGAAGCACAGTAATTAAATCTCGGCTCATTTCAACCCGTCGAGGGACAACACGTGGGGAGGTGGATGAGAGGCGGAGACCATTACAGGATTCACAGTCTTCCTTTCATGTAGATCCACCATATTTCGGCCATGGCTTTACTAGCACTCGACTTTTTTAAATCTGGATGGTCCCGAAGTGCTTTTTTAGAATGAATCTTTGTTAGGCATTTTTTATGTCCTTGGTCTGTGATAATATTCATATCCCCAGCTTTGGTTTGCTTGATGGGACCAAGTTGCATATCCAGATTACAACATGGTTGTGAGCACAAGGTCTTGGTTTTGACTAATAACATTTCCTTGTAAATCTTATTTGTTACTTGTTGACTGGATTTTTGTGCTGTGATAAAGTTTAGGTATTTTTGATACTTGAGAAAAGGTGGCTGTGTGTGCCAAAAATAACCAATTGTTAATACTAAATAAAAACCATTAAAAAATGTCCATTGTCATCAATTCTTCACTTCATTGTAATTTTTATAATGCACTAGATACAGTGACACACATTGCCATTTCAGAAATTTTGTGACCATTTTGTCAGTATGTAGAATTAGAATATATTAATTTTGTCATGTAAGCAA